GAGAGAGAGAGAGAGAGAGAGAGAGAGAGAGAGAGAGAGAGAGAGAAAGAGAATAGAGTGAGACAGAGAGATCAGCTGAATTACAGAAAAAAACAATGCAGCAGGATTAATTGGCTTTTCTTCTAAATTCGCTCTCCAGTGTGGCATGAATGTAAATGGGAGAAAAGTGAGAGAAACGGCGAGTGGATTTGTGGAAACCAAAAGGTCGTTTTCTGCGCTGCAGGCAAACTAAGTCCCTGTAGCTTTAATGGAATGCAAAAGCTGGCGAAATGAAGAAAACATGTGCGAGACAAACCTGTGAAGGTGGAAGCGTAAGGGTGCATGTTTCACCTACACTAGGAAAACCGATATGCTCTCCCCAGGTGTTAACTTTAAGTATGCTGTGTGTTTAAAACATGTGTTGAAGATGTACCTAGAAAAACGTTCAGAGATTAGAAAGGTGAGTGGAGAGAAAAACATAACGCAACCGCAGAAATGCCAAGAGGGAGTTCACGGTAACAGTCTGTTCTCTTGTATACGTACAAAGTGCATCCAATGTTTTACCATGTTTACTTTTCTGTAAGTAAAATCTCAAGGACTTTAGTCATCTACCGGTTGTACAGTCCTTTCTGAAGGTAACATAGGTTATCAATGCATAGGAAACCAAATGTTTTATATACGTTTTTATGCCTTTGTGGCGCTCGCATATTAAAGTCAGCTTAAAAGAAACACTCACCAGCGCCTCGTCTCACTAATCAACAGTGTGTCTTGTTCTTTAAAAGTGAATTAGCTCGATTACAGTAAAATATACAGTGTATTCATACATATGCACATATCCTCTTGTGATGAGTTTCCCTCACAGATCAATAGACAGAAGATGAACAGGAATATCTTATTTCTTTAACTAAATGTTACCTATATGTGAAACTAAATGGAAGACATGAACGTGGCCTCTCTGCCTGACATTAAGGAGGTCACATTCCCGGCAACATTGCTCTCATCAGTACAAATTATGGCACATTTTCTCTGTGTGTTGGAGCTGTAATCCTCTCTGCATCCAATTAAAAAAGTGATTTACTTTGGTGTAAAACCAGAGAAGTTCACAGAGAGTGAAAATCTAGCTGGAAAATACGAGACAGATTCAAACTTAAGGCCCCAAATGCAGATTTCTGGCTCAGGGGAGCGGTAAGCCATCTCTAGTTAACGACCACGCGAGCACCAAAAGGTGTCTTTTGCGTTGTCATTTTAATGTGCAGGTGAACGGAGGTTCATCACTGGCTTGAGAACGTGCACATGACGAGAGGGAGGAAGTCATTCAAACCCATTCTGTCATTGGGGAAAATGCCCTGCACAGATATGGCACCAGCTGGGTTTGCTCAGAACACGTTTACTCCTTCCATTCTTTAGGAGGAAGACCAGGAACACTTTACAAACAGGGATTGTTGAGTGAAAAATACTGCAAAAGGGAAAAAAGAAGTGTTTAATGGTTTTACAGCTGATGGGGAGATTTCTCAGTGAGAAGAACAGCAATGTTCCATTAGAAATAAAAGCATTTCTAATATTTACCAAAGTCATAATATCGCTGCACTAACCCTGGCTGTAAATGCAAGTATTGATTTAAGTGCCACTTCATACTTAAAAGACATGACATCGCCTTGCACCTCATTATATCACTGATTTACTTACTCCCTCAGTCGAGCTACCCTTGTCATTCTCTACCTTTAAAAGGAAACGGGCGAGGTCAGAGCCTTCCCCTGCACTCCAAGACAAGCTGAATGCAAGTACTGCAACATAGCTCAGCCACATACAGACTGTATTTTCTTCCCTATTTTGGCTGAAAGTCCCGATGTCCTGAGTACAGCCTCCCCCCCCCCCCCCCCCCCCCCCGGCAGCCGCAGATTTATTGTCTCGATTTAAAATCTCCAAAACCAGACGTCGGTCGCCTAATTTTGCAGAGTGATGAAAGTGGCTCCATTTTCAGAGGAAACGGCTCCGATTTCCTGATTGTGTCAAGTAAATAATCTCCAAGAGACTCTACAGGGTGAATGTTGATTGGCTGTTAATAAAAATATGCTGAGTGTTGAAAAGATAATGTGTGTTTGCTCTATTTCTAACAACCCAGGCCTAAAAAGCTACACTCCAAACGTCTATTGAATAAAAACCCGCTGAAGTACTGTTTTTTTTTCTTCTTTTTTACATGATAGCTTACATAAACCTGAGCCACATACCACTATAAATAAACTGCATGCATACATAACCACCTTAAGTGCCGCCTTTAAAAATCCGTGCGTGGGAAATGAGATTCTTACTTATATTTCTTCAGCTACAGTTACGAGACAGCAGCTCTGCAGACATCGTGGCAAAGTCGGGGGCTTTCGGCATGAAGCCAGTGAGGGAAAGGTTATCGTAACGGATATAAACTATGGAAATACGACAAAACAAATAAGTCCTCGGTAAAAAGGAGGTGATGAATGGAACATTTTAATGACTTTCAGCAATGTTTCCCTTCGCTAACATGTTAAATCATCCCTAAAATAAGCTTGTCCATTATCTCAACAGAGACATTTTCTCCATGCTGACTTGCAATTATACTAAATGATTGTTCCTGATGATAAAACTATATTTTCTACCGTAGTAGAGTCTGAGGTTAAAGTCCTCAAATTCGTGTCCATAATCAAAATGTCCCAATTTTCACCTCCGACAGCTTTGTAATAGCACTGGCTTTCCACTGAGTAACCCTCGTGACCCACAGCAGCAGGCATGTTCCGGAAGCATGCGGACAAGGTGGAGAGAAGGGGGGGGGGGGCAGGCATAAACAGCTTATTTCAGATTTCAACAAGGGCAGCGGTGTGTGATTCATTTTTTTTCTTCCCCCCCAGTTATCTGAACCAAATGTTTTTCTCGGCTGAGGCATCCAGGCAGAGAGTACCTGCTGTAAAGGTTAACAGGAACAAAGCACTGTTTTTCCCCTCACCCGCCTGCTCCTGCCTCCTCCGCCCTCCCCTCACCCCCTTCCCTTAGCGAGAGAAACACGAAACTTGTTCAAATGAATCCCTTATTTGAGAGACCCCGAAGCATGCAGGCAAATCAATACACACAGACAGACAAACAAACGGAGCACCCATTGGCGCTTTCCATTTGGGTTGCGCGGCTCGACCTACTGCGGCGTCCTTCTTCTCGTTCCAGCGGGTGATGAAGCTGTTCTCCCTCTCCATCTGTTGCACGCGGCTTTCATTGACCTGTCGGGACACACGCAGACACATCAATTCAAACCCAGTAAAGAGAAACATCAAATTTGCTTGATGGACTCCCGGTTTTTGAAGGCGGCATTCATTTTCGAGCCCTTAAATACGACACATGGAAGCCAAGATTAAACCAATAAAAAGGCATCATCATACGCAAACTGCAGAAGCGGGTTGTTCAGCAAACACTTCTAAAACTAATTTAAAAAAGGAAGTTGGCTGGGAGGTTTTTTTTTCTGACACAGCTCAGCACCAAGAGAATACTCTTTTCTTTCACAGAGCTCTGTGTGGGAAATGATATTTTCTATTCCAACTTTTTTTTTTTTTTTTTTTTTTTTTTTTAAACACCATTATCATTTTCAGAGAACAATTTGCTTTGTTGGAGTTCTATGAATGGCAGACGAGATTGCGGGTGAAAAAATAAACTAAAACTCACAAACTCATCGTGTGTGTTTAGGCCTGATAATGAGCGCCGTCGACGACATCCAGCACAGAACCGGCGCTTTAATTAGCGAGATGTCTCCCCCCCCCCTTCGTTTCATGTCACGGCGCGTGTATTCACTGCCTTCGGGCGCATGATTGGTTGAGCTTAATGGCTATTTGTCATGCGAATGACGGCGTCCCGAACCGATTTGGAGTGAATGCTCCTCCTTTAACGTCGGAACAAGAGGGATCCAGGCGTTCTGTTGGGAATTAGCAGTCGCTCTGTGCCGAGTATCCCGTAAGCCGGGTGAGCTCTCCAAGGGTAAAATTGATCCCACCCCCCACCACCACCACCCCCCCGCCCATCCACATGTCAGCAAAGTCAAGCCAATTGTGGAGCTTTGGCAACAACAGTTCTGCTCCCAGATGGTTGAAGTAAGAGGGTGCAAATAAAAAAAGTCATGCGTGCAGCTTTGTTAAGATATGCAATACGATTATGTATGAATGCCTTCGAAAGAACTGATGGGAGAGTCCTAATAAATCTAGCAGCTCGACCACATTCGACTGCATTTACTGCACCTTTCTTACAGAAGTTTATCTTCTAGTTTATAGAATTAAACGATGTAGTTTTCATTTTGGATGGTTCAGTGCATATCATGTATACAGGTTTTTTTTTTTTTTTTTCATAATTTCAATACACATTATATCGAAAGAACCACAAATAAAGAACTTTATCCAGCGATGATGTTTTCGTGGGTCTGACGTTAGAAACTATCGAGTTGCATTCTGGGAATTAACCCATTCTGTCGAATCTTAGCGTCAGTGCACCTTTAATAGAGCTTTTGGTCTTACACACATGACAATAACACTTTGCTGAAATATGACTTACTTTGAGTTAATATGAATACTTTCTTATTTAAAAATTATTATATATGGGGACACATTTTTCCAATTTAGTTGAACATTTTAAAATCTCATGTCCCAGTTTGTTTACATCCGTTTTAAGGATGGCATTATCAATAAAAATAATTTACACAAAATTATTTTAATATTACAGCAAAAATTCAAACCAAAAACAGTCAGACTGCTCAGTCAAAGGGTGAATATCTGATGTTTCTCTCTCTCATATTATATATTTCACTGCAATTAAAAACTCCTTGCATAAATCAATCACCAAGACACACGCCTGGTCTCATTTCACCTCTCATTTTTTAAATCTATGATAATATATTTACTGATTATGTTACGAGTGTTAATGTAATACAAATCAGGTGTGATCTGACTTAGAGGTGGAAGACTCGTATCATGCGACCATGCTCAGCTCAGCCCTCTGTCCCCCCTGCTCACCGTCTCCCGAGCAGTTCCTCACCAGCATCAACACTTTCAAAACGGCAACACATGAATAAATGGAACGTTTCTCACTCACACTGAAGAGTGTGATGTAGTTGCTGATGAGGTCGTGGACGACTCTAATTTCCTGCGGGGTTTGTCCCCGAGTCTGGAACAAGCAGGAGGAGAAGACGGAGGCCAGTTTTACGCTGGGCATGTGATTGAGGTTGGAACACTGCTGAATCCTGAATCACAGAAAGAAACGGGGGTTAGAAGAACACACACACACACACACACACACACACAAACACACACAGAGAGAGAGAGAGTTTAGTGAAATGTTGGGCCTCAGTCCAAATTCAGCAAAAGGCCAATTAAGTCTTCTCCAAACAATCCAGCTCATTAACATAATGCAGCTAAATCACGATTATCCACTAGAGGTTTCTGAGGGAGCGATGTGTAATGTGAGCATTAGTGAATGAGACATCGAGGCAGCAGAGGGGGTTTGTGTGGAAAACAGGTCCGAGGTCTGCGGAAGCTGCAGGACAGGAGCCGGGTCGTAATGCTGGCTTTTTACCTGTTCGGTTCTGCACCTGGAGTTTAATGCTGACGCTGGGTTGTACACAATTGCATTATGAAATGTATTACTAGAAGGTTCTACACATACCTGGAAAGCCGACTGTTCACAATATCCAAGAGTGAAAAGATTGATAATTCATCAAAATTGTAAGTAAATTAACATAAACTTGAAATATATGATTTTCCTCACAAAAAAAGCCCACTTTTGCAAAAAACAGCACTACTTCTGCCTCTCTACTGTGTGTTAGCTTGAGTTTTTAATAATGAGCAACTCAATCTGTCATATGCCAAATACTATAAACAAATGGGACAAACGCTATTAGATTGATTCATGAGCCTTAACCTTAAAAGGAGGCCATCGCTTTAGTTTTCAGCTTGTAATTTGAAGGGCATGCCAGCGTATTCACTCCACATACACATACAGAATCAGACTAACTCTGAACGTATCCCACTTGATTGGTCAGAAGAGAAACACGCAACAGAGGGTAGAGTGGGTCATTAACAGAGCAGAAGGGACAACAGGCTAATCAGCGGGTGCTAAGTAGCAACCCTCGGGCTCCTCAGAGTGCAGAGACCTTTGAGCCTCCGCACTTGTAACATCTGTGACGCAGGTTAGCATCTGTAGATGCTACGCCTGTTCTATCAGCCACGACCACAGTTAAAAACATGATCGAGCCAAGAGCACTTTAACAGTTTGGTACTAGTCTAATGAGTCATAATGCGCAATTTGGCAAAAGTAGTTATGCTTCGTCTCCACGTCCAATTAGACAAGTTTCTTTCCACAGCCGTGTCTCAGGCTGGCTACCGTATCACATTAAAGATAATATTAGTCACGGGACCGTATTCACGTCACACAGTGGATGTATCAGCGGTGAAGTACTCAGATCCTTTACTTAAGCAAAACTACAATATTTAACTCTGAACTACATTGTTGAATGTGGTTTTGGCTCCTCGTGTCCTGTTTTTGAAGTTGACCACATGGACTTCTCCTTTAGGAGAATACACTTTATGAAGTAGCCTCACTAGTAGAAAGCTTTAAATGCATCTGCAGTTTGAAGTGTGTACCTGTACAGATGTTGGAGCACAGCATCAAGGGTTGACCTGTTTATCTTTGGCAAACTCTCGATGAAAGTGGAGTACTTCTTTACTCTCTGCCTCTCGTCCTCCTCGTCTGCAAAACCACACGGATGAGAACTACTTTAAAAAGGCCCAAAATAACAAACCATAAACTAAAACATGAGCATCAACACACAAAGGACATCACGGTCATTCGGAACACATACCCAGAGCTGACACCCAGTAAGGATAGAGCTCCTTGGTCAGCAGTGCGTCCTCTGCTTGGGACAGGAAGCTCTTGAGGATGTCGGTCACATCCTCCAGCTGCTGCTCCTTCTTCCTCAGCTTTACATTACGGGCGTCCCGCGTGAACTCCTCCAGGAGCAGGGCCACCCGACCAGGGTCCCCTGGCCTTTGGTAGAGGCCCTCCTGGCACAAACCTGCTCAAAAAAATACATATATTGACTTCTTCTAGAAAGTGTTCCGCTCATGGAAGCGATGGCCTACATGTACTACATTTCAAAAAGAATACGGTGAAAGGAGAGATGGAATAATGTCACAACACTGTGCAAGTCAACATTACAAAGCATGAAATTGTCAAACTAAATCAGCTACTGCAGGAATTCTTTTAAGCTTCTCTCGCCCCGTAGGTATGAGGTCACTCACCGTATTGGGTGACAAAAGCAATGCAACTGTCGACTATAATAGGGATGCCGTTTTTAGTCAGCTGTTGGTCGCTGAGCGCCTTTCCATCTGTGCCAGCAGCCAGCGTGATGGCAGAGAGCCACAGCGCAAAGTCCATCTTGGTGAAGCCGTGGATGTAAACGGTTCTATCAACACAGAAAATTTGTTATTATTAATGAGGTAGGGCGTCATGATGGAATTTCCAGTGACAATATAGCATTTCATATTTAAAAGTTGCTCGTTCATTTGAAAGAGCTTTGCTCAGTCATTAATAAATACACAACCAAAAAAAGGAATCCCACAGTGCTTCTGAAGAACACACATTAGAAACAACAACCGCTTCCCGTGAGGTTTCATCAAAAGCACACAAAACGAAGAGCAATTAACGGAGTGCAAAGTCTAGTTGGATTATTCTAACAGGGAGACTGGAACTGTTGGCCGGTGTTACGTGCCATCTCACACCGTCTCTGGAACCGAAGCAGGCAGCGTAGCGAGACTTTGATTGCCGCGGACGGTTACAGTAGGTAAAGTGCAATCGGACTAACAAGACAAAAGGACGAAATCAAAGATTTACAGCGTTGCATAATGCATCGTGTTGTTGTATCGCAAATGCGTTTGCCAATTATCAAACAGACATACCTTCTTCCCTCCACCATCAGCAGGACTTGGATCTTGTCCTCACCCTCTGTATGCATGGAGACAGCTGTGGGGGGGGGGGGAAGAGGAAACAAGTTAACGGTGCACATTCACATACGAGAGGAAAGCGCTAATGCAAAGTAATGTGTTTAAGTCTGACATTCACAGTTGTTGTAATCTCCGTCTAAAGCACGAGCGCTTAGATGCTTTCGCCATTAAACTCGAAAAAACGCATTAATTTCCTGTCACTGAAAAGGTCTCAGTATTCATTTACTCTTTAAGTCAATCCTTGCAAATAATAACCGGCACAATATGTTCAGACATACCCGACTAGTCTTTTCAAATGTGCAGACGTATAGTGGGAAGAAAAAGAGGAAGGAGCAGCACAGCGGTGGAGGGGCAAATGCATCCGATTGGACTTAACAGCATTTCCTTGTTGTAATGGGAAACACGGGTCTGGTTTTTGTGTGTCGCAGACTCACTAAAAGGGTGTTTCAACAAGAGAAGGGAAGTGGGGCATAAATGCAAAGTGTCGATGGTCATCAAGCTTCATGTGAAGTTGGCGGAAATGCAACCAAATGAGATTGGACTGAAGGGAAAGTATTTAACACACCAAAAGGGAAAGAGAACAAAAGAAAGAGGGAGTTGCTGCCATTCTTCATCGGTACAATCACTCTTTTTAAAACAGTGCAAGGATACAGGAAAAACCGAGCAGAGGGACTCCAAAGCTCCGCCGTAATCTCTTCTGTGGGTTCAAGCAGCTGCTTGGATCATGGCAACAATCACACACACACACACACACACACACACACAACAGAAAAGCGTAACAAAACAAAGATATGAGGCTCCGCAGTTGAGTCACAAATCTCCAGACAACAACATCTGGCACTTTCATCTTACTGAAGTTCCCACTGGTTGTGCTCAAATAATGGACACATATCAAAGAAACAAACAAAACAAAAAGAGAACAATCTGGACTCTACCCAGCTCGCTAACTAGCTACCCGAACCAGAAGTAATTGCATGATATTGCAAGATGACGTCACGGTGCCCACAAACGTCTCTGGCTCTTCTCAGAGGGTTATTTATTGAAGATTTACAGGAAGAGTTTTTTAGAAAATACGTTTATTCTCTTTCTTACCAAGAAGAGAAGACTTTCAAACTCTTAGGGAAATATGAAGCTACCGCCAACAACTAGTTAGTAGAAAACAGAACGTGTTTTTACAGAAAGAGGATATAACGTGTTAATTAACTAGCTCTAGAGCTGCTTTGTTTTACCTGTGGACAAACCAAGCTAGCTGTTTACCCGTTTCCACAAAGTGTACAAATGACACGTTGTGATTTAAGCTGAAGTACCGGGCTGCTGGCTTTATCTTCACACTTACCGTACAGACATGAGAGTGGTCTCGACCTTCTCATCCAGCTCTCAGTAAGAACCAAATCCTGTTCAAATGTTATATTCTTTTCATCCTACAGTCGCTTGAATCTAGTAAACCTTACAACCCTTTATCCGAGGTTGACCTCCACATTTACCAAACTCAAATTTGAATTACTTGAAGAAAAAAAATAGCCTTCCTATGAACAATATTTTCTTTGTACTGTACATCATAAATGAATATTTTCATCACATCTCATCTACAACTAGTTTCAATGTTCTCCACCGAACTGCTTCGTAAACACACGGATCAATTATCAGCACCGACAGGCAACGATTTAATTGAATAAAAGAGGATCGGCAAAAAAAATATGACATGTAACGGTGTTGTTTTGGCTAAAAAGTCCGTTGCATGTTGAGTGAAACAGCAAAAGCAATTAATCCCCAAAGTCTCCCTCAACAAATAATTTGCTTTTTGTTTTCTTTGGCAGATTTTCAAGGGCACAGTATTTCATTCTGATCCAAACAACGAGAGAAGAAAGCCAGAGAACTTCACAGGTTTGTGTTGACTTAAGAGAGGCTTATTAACAGTGTTATCAGGTAAATGCAAAAACACTTGTCACCGCTTTGTGAACAAAACACAGCAGTCCTCTTTTATCCATCTTACAGCTCAGTGGGATTTTTTTATTACCGAATATGTTCGTGTGATAAGGAACTAAGTCTGCAGCCTTGTTCTCTTCGTAATTTGTACTTGGCGTCCCGTAAGAGATTCCCATGCTGGGTTTTTTTTCCCCCTCTAACAAAATCATGGTGATTTAGAGGGCTGGTGCACATTTCCAGTATTATGTTGTTTATTTTGCCAGGTATTATATGATAACCTCATAATATAATAAGCCTCGTCGAGTCCTGGGACAGAACGGGCCATGTTCTCGGACGGGAAGCAGTTGATCCACTGATTTTTCGCCGTGATAGCAAAGCTCGACCAGTGATGGAATTTTGAAGTTTTGTTTTTTTTCTTTACATAAATGGAAACCAAAACAAATATTTCTGAAAAGGATCCCTTTCAATTTACAGAATCATGACAAAGAAAAATTGGTCTAACTTTGTCAGTGACTTTGTAAGAAATGCTAGTAAATGTCCAAAATATGTCTGAGGTATTTTAAACATATGTTGATACCGACACATCAATAAAAAGAGAATATTGGCCGGTTGCTTTATGCAAATTCCTATAAACAGCATAACCTATATACTGAATATTACATATATTTAAGTAGTCGGAGCATTTTATAGAAACACTTCAAAGTGTCCTGTTGAATTTTCTTGTAAACAACTATGTTATGTTCACTTCTACTAGAGCTGCAATCTATCAATTCATGTGAACAATTCAAAACCATCTCAACAGGGTAATGTCTATGTAACCGGTGCTACTCATGCAGGTTATTGTTCGTGTGTGTAATCAACAATAAGTAGAGAAATATTGGTCTGATCACAATCTGGCTATTAGCAATTACTAAATTATTACTCAGATTCAAGTTATCTTCCAAATGGACATGAATCATCACTAACGGTGCTGACCATGTTAGCTGTGATTGCTTTAAATCTTTATTATCTTTAAAAAAAAATCAAATTATACCCTAAAATGAACTTCAGTGGGGACACACTGACATCTGGCTACTAAATATGCTGGACTGCAGTCTTGTGCTGATGCCTATCTTAATTTCTAGATGATTGAGGAGAGCGTTGAATTAACTGTGTGTTTTTTTCCTCTCTATTTAGCCAACGCCTTAAGATAAATCCACTGAGAAAATTGCACCGAATGAGCTCAAAGTTAACGGTCTTATCTTGAAAACCGTTCACTTCAGAAGGTCCTGGGTGAGAAAGCCAATTTGTGCACCGTGACAGATTAATGATTATCCAACTGTATATGTCATTTCCTCCACTTGGTTTGACTTTGGTTCTAGTTACTTGTGCAGCAGACATCTTGACATGGGTCATCACAAAGAAAGATCCATCGTCTCGCAAGTACACAGCTGAGCCCCCTCAGAGAGCGAGCGCACTCGTGTTCTTTGGGGGAAAGGATTCTTTCTAGTTTCTTTGTTTATTTACTTGTGAATTTGTTCATTTACTTGTGAATTTGTTCATTATATTTTTACGTTTGAAACACAAAGTTACAAAGTGCTTCTTAACAGTTGATGAAGACCAATGAAATAATTGGAACAACACGCTAAAGACAGTAAAAACTGTTCCTAGTCATCGGGAGACAAACAGAGAATAAATTACAGACGAGGCAATTAAGGATAAAATGAATGAAAGGCAAAAGATTAGAGCGCTTACTTTCCTCCGGTATGAAAGCCCTTTAGTGCGTTTTGAGAAGAGAGATTCAGAGAATGATCGTAACTCTGCCAGCCTGAAGTCAAAATAACAGGCTGCATCACACTTGCAAATACTCCTATAGCAGTCTGAAGAGCTGCATGCAGGAGACATGTAGTGATTTTAATTGAAAAAATGTTTTTTTTTTATTAAATGCCTCACTGCTTCACAGGAGCACCTTTCATGTGGTGGTGTCACTGCAGAGAAAATAACAGTTAATCCCATGTCACAGACTGTGATTCCTAAAGGGATCCTTTCAATGCTCCAGACCCTACCACCCCCCCACCCCCACCCGACAAAACATAGTCCCCCTCTGGCGCCAGCAGCTCCTCGGCTGTGACAAATATGGTTTGAGAGAGCCGGGACTAAAAATGAGCACTGCTGCAGTTCTTTATCCCGCCCAAGGTGGGAAGATGGGGCGGCACTTTGCCGCGATTTGATCCACGTCGAGCTTTAAATGGATTAAAGAGATCCGTCGATTCTCCCCCACCTTCCGGTCGCACATCACACTGGCTGCCATCGATCAATCTGCCAAAGTCTATATGAGAACTTTTGAGACTTCTCCGGTGACTGGCAGCTTCCCTCCACTGACCATCCTTTACACAACATGTTAGTTAGTTAGCTCTTAACTACGCGTGTTTCTGATGGCTCGTGTAACGTGTGTTGCTGCCGCCACCCTGAATGATCCTGAAGGGTTGTACTTGGACAAGTTACACAAAGGTGGGATTCATGTTTCACTTCAAGGATGAGGACCATATTATCCTTAGAATAATTGTATCTTGGAGAAATGTTCCCAGCAAGACTAGTCTGTTTAAGTGTTAGAGACTAGGAGAGAGATCAGAATGGAAGAAGCTGTGTCACACTCGCCACTATTACAAAGAAGGTAACTTAACTGTTTTCACACATTCGCTGGTTAAAGAAGGACTGCAAAACACAGCGAGAACTAGACAAATAATAATGCTTACTGAGCTCATGTAGCTGTTTGAGTTGGAGGACTTCCTCCTCTCCCTCCTCTTCCCCTGAGCTGAAGTGCAGGGCAGAGCATTCCAGCACGAACCAGCCCACCCTCCAGTGGTACAGGTCATGGCCTTCTTTGTAGTGCAGTCTGCCAATCAGCTCGACGTCTCTCTGCAGCAGTCCCTCGACTTTAGCCGGGACGAAGCACTGCGAAAGAGATACCAGGCTTGAGAATTAAGGAAGCTTCACTTTTTAAAAGCGTGAAACTGTGGAGCGTTAACCTCAAAACAAACTGCAGACACAAAAACAGAACAGGTGCAGCCTTCTTTCTGTAAGGATAAACCTTTCCCTTTCTCCTGCTCGACTCCGTCTGGCCATCGTTGCGTGATTCAAACTGAAACACGGAGGTGTGGAAGGCCTATGGTGCAGATGGAGAGACATATGGACTAACGCGGCTATACCTCCCACTATCTATGACTCGGTTGCCTGGGATTAAAGAGATCAAAAAAAGGGAATAGAGGACATATTTATGAAGGGTATTATTGCAAGATCTTGGCAGCATGTGTGTGGGGGGGAGATAGTCAGACCTCTTGTCTTACTGAAAGAAGCTCAGGCAGCACGGGGATCACTGAGGACAATGTGTTGCAAAGTAGCAAGAGTGAAGGAAAGAAAAGTATGGATGTGCTGTACTTCTGCGCCACATACACACAGCTTCTTCCTCGTAACTGTAAGTGAAAAACAAACTTAAAAAGGAGGAAATGGAAATCAGTGTGTTTGTGTCCCTGTGTGTGTGTGTTGCATGCAAAGGGTGTCACCTTTGTTAGCGCCTGGATCCAGTCATGCTGCGTTTCCTGTGTTTCAGCCCCGACAATCAGGACTCGCTCCGATTGCAGGTACAGTTCGACGGTGAACACGGCCCTGCCAGAGACACGCAGCTCACTATTAGATATCTGGAGTGGAACTTGTCCTCATAAACGCAGGAAACAAGCACCCAAATATGTCAACATTAGCACATACAAGTCTTTTAATTTATGTGAATTCATGTGAAGCGATATTCCCTTTTTCTTATTGACATACAGTGCTGCGAGCATGTTATTATGAATTGCATTTTGGATGTTCTCATTTTGCCTTGAATCTGTCATGAATGTGTTTTCGTACAATGTGTGTCAGCCAGTCAGTGATGAAGGTTACATACACACTAACTATGCAATCATTCTAAAATAAAAAAGGAGCATGAATGCACTGCCACACTCATTCATCCACACACACACACACACATGCAAAACCATTGCCGTCGGAAGCAAAAAGGCAGCTATTAATCTTTGTTGGTCCTCCTGTTGTCTCTGCCTTCACCACCACCACCTCTCTCTCTCTCTCTCTCTCTCTCTCTCTCTCTCTGTGTGAGGGTAGAGAGGTCAGAGTATCACTATCTTAATGGTTTCAACACGTTGCCAAGCGGCGGCCTCGTTTCCGTTTGGTACGCTACAGCGAGGGAGGCTCTGAATGCGATAGCGGTGAGCGTTTAAGGTGGCTTGTCACGGCAGCGCCGATTCTCTCCCTTTCTTACATGTGTCAGGGGAGCAAGCGAGACACGGGTGTTTGTGTGCCCTCAGGTGACCCTCCCTCCCCCCCCCCCTCCCACGTCTTCGCCGGCAGGTGTGCAGGCGCTTGTTAGAGGAAGTCCCAGAGGGAGAGAGAGAGAGGGAAGGACTGGCTGGCAGTGGGGGGGTAACGCTGGCGTGCTGGGCAAATGGTATCGGAAAGACGGGAGGAGAAGACGGAGGGATGAGAGATGAACGCTGCATTATGAGTGTCCCAGAGGGAGGGAGTGGGCGGGGAGAGGGGGGAGAACGAGCTAGAAACAAAGAGAGAGAGATGTTGAAACAATAACATGCATGACCAAACTGAGCGACACAAGACAACATACTATCCTCACACAGGACGCATTCTTGTACCGCACGTGTGTTTTCCTTTTTATTTCCTCTTTCCTTGTTTAGTTTATCCAACTGTACACAGGAAACGTGCACTACCATAACCTGGTTACTGTCAAATTTGTATTTACATGAGTCTTACCTACTGCGGTGATATTGAATCGTGCCGACATATTTCAGGTGTATTTGTGATAAAAAAAAAAGTAAAAAAATGTCGGGTCCATTTGTACTCACATGCTCCGTCATGAGAAAGCACACCTGGTTTCCTACTCTACTTAGTTTATGAACTAAAAGGCAAAGTCTTTAGGCGTGAATATAGGCCTTATTTAATATTAATTCCACTTGTAGTCAGACTTTCAGTTCAATCATAATAGATAAGAGCAGTATTGATCTTGTATCCGAAATACAACCTCCCTTGAAAAGATATTGGCAAAGACAAATTAAGGTCGGTAAGATCGTGTGCTATCGGAAAAAGTACCTTCTTGGGTTGAGTTTGACAGAGCGTACATGTACTTTCCCTTGTGGAGGAATCTGCTGCACAAGATTCACCGGTGGTTTAAACAAGCAGGGATGTATGTGTACGTATTTCTGGAGCATTTTATTTCCACCTGAAGGCTTTCCTGTGCTCTGAGAGAACTCTTAATTCCCCAGCCCTCATATATCTATCCCATCTCGCTGACAAAGTTAGCACCTAAGCCCTTCTAACAGCCTTTTAAAAAGTCGGCTATATTTTTTGTGTTAGTGTGCGAGAAAAGAAGACAGTGAGAAAAGAGTGAAACGGTGCAACAAAGAAGCCAAACAGACGAAATAGAAAAAGAAAAGTTTGCTTCCAACATATCCATTTGAATTTGAAGGTCAGAATTAACTTACAAATATTCTTGTAGAAACAGAGCGGAAAACCTCAACTTATCACCAGCGAACATACTCCCTTTGCATTAATTCCTCAGAAGTGGGTTTGTAATATTCATACAACTTCAGCAGACGCATGTGTCGGGGGAGGGGGGGGGGGCCGGAGCCGTAATTTACGGTGTCCTCTGCCACGGTGCAATTACCCCGAACGCTGTGGCTTAATGGAAGCGACACTTACGGCTTCCTGTAGCGCGGCGATAGGCTGCTGGTGGGAGTGTGTCATCTGCATACGTTAATATTCATAAGCGGCAGACAGTCAAGAGGTGAGGCGTCCCCGCTCGGGCATGCTGGGAACGCTGGAAGTTGCCAAAGGGAGAGGGGAGAGAGCGGCAGAGTTTAATCTAGTGAAACGCACAGCCATTACGAGTGTTAGCGAGGGAGGAATAATAGCCTTGACCTGTAGCTGTGGACATATGCGCGAAAGCTAAAAAACGGCACCGTGTCACCGTTGCTTTGTAGCGTCTGTGCACACAACATGGCATCATCGTAACCTGTCATGACTGTGTGTATGTGTCCAGCTGATTGGAAAGGTCATCGTTGTAGCTGGGCAGCTGTGTTTCTAATGGCTGTATAAATAAAAACGCACAAATAAAAGCATTGTTTCCTCTTCATAACATCTGCTGCTGTCATTAAGGACCTGGCTTACGCTTCAATCATAAGCCATTATCAGGCTCCTCGCAGGGGAACTGAAGCACACACACACACACACACACACAGACACACACACACACA